GATATGTACGGTGCATTGTGTGAAAAGTGTAGTATGTACAGGAGTGTAAGTGAGTCTGTCCACACCCTCACTGTTGATTTTAGAGATAGATGGTGAAGTGTGGAGTCTTTGTTCAGGGTCCTGATTGCAGCTCTTTTATGTTTTTATTGGGCTGAAGGTCTCACAGGAGTCTAGTTAATTGTTAGACTGAGAGGCTGCGTGTGGTCTGTCTGGCTTTGAGGAGGTCCATCTGTAAGTGAGTTTAAAGCTCTTGTCCAGCACAGGCTGCCACCTCAAAATCAAGCCAAGTTATCTTTAATGTAAAAACTTAATCCTAAATTTAGGGTCTTTGTGTATATTTTATTGGGAGCAAAGGAATATTGAATCTGACGGCTACTCCTAAATTTTAGTGAAGGCATGAAATTGGTAAAGCCCAAGTTGAGTTATCAGGCATAGATGTGGATAAGCTTGACTTAAAACGGTTGTTATTTGAGCAGCAGCCTCCTCACTGGAGGGAAACTTATCATTAACTCTAAACAGCCCAGAATTAGCCAGTGTAATCTAAACGGCTGATGAGTGATAAACATTGCTAAGCTTTCGTTAGCAGTGAGCAGTGAGGCTTGGGACCCCTCTTGATGTCCTACCCATATTAAAAAGTCTTAAAGAGACACACATATTTGGTGGGTGACTGCTTTCATGTCTTTGGTCATACAGGTTTTGATTGACTTGAAAATCTGCTCGAAAGAAGAAAAAGTCTGTGTGAAAGGTGCAGTGGATAGAAATAGTTAAACATAGTTGAAACTAAGTGTGTTAGAGTAAAATCACCTTTAATATTTATTAAATTTTTGTCATCAAGACTTTCTTCTCTATACTCCATTGGGCCCACCATCTTGCACCACCATATTGCACAGAACTAACAAACTAGTAATGAGAGGGGTGAGCCGGTGAGCATTTAATTGCACAATCTGACTGCAAAGGTTCCTGTTTCTTTCTACACTCTGTGATGACCTTATTTGAAAAGCTTTTACTTCGGGAATAACAATCACTTAAAAACTTCTTAAAATTGAGAGATAAAAACTCAGGGTAGGAATCACCAGTGGCCCCCACGGTACGATATTATTACGATACTTGGGCCACAGCATGATATTATTGCAATTTTTTTACATTTTGCGTTGCAGTGAGTTTTGCGATACAATATATTGCGATTCATACAATTTTTTCAACTGTGAAGCTAATTTAGCATTTGTCTTTCCTTTATGTTTGTCGGTATTTTATTTTCATGTCGCACATCTTGCAAACCTTATATATATATTTGTTTTACTAACTTTATCCTGCTCTATGACGTCACCTCTGCTAACCTCACTGGACAAACAGTTAACTTTATTTTTCCATTATCATAGATTTGACTTAATATTAGCCTTTAATTTGAAAATTCAATACTTGGTAAATGAGAAGATATGATATATCACCAGACAAAATATTGCAATACTATGCTGTATTGATTTTTTCTCCCACCCCTAATAAAAATAGTCACCAGCTGTTGAAAGAATGTACTGCTCTTCCACCGCCTACTTTAAAAACTGTATACTTCTGTAAAGTTTACCAGTGTATGTTCACAAAAATAAACATTGTCTTCTAATCCTTTTGTTAGAGGACAACAGGCAGGATTATCCAGCAACCCTAATGCCTGTATTAACACTATGCAGACACACGATCACAGAGACAAGAGGGATTTCCCAAGACTGTTACGACACTGCCTAAACCTTTATCACTCTCTGTTCAGCCTGTTTAGAAACATCCAGGTTTAGACATTGGCCAATGGAAACAGCTAATACTTTAATGCTGTATTAATGGTGATAGTTACTTTTTGGCACAGACTCTTTTTTTTTAGCAGAGAAGTCAATGCCGATTCATCAGGCAGTCATTAGCCTTATTGTGAAACTCCTCAGCAGCTGTAAAACTGCTATTATCACTTCTGTCTTGCTCTCAGCATGAAGTGATTCAGTACCATTCTTTGTATGAGTAATTTGTCGTAGTGCTACATCCAGAGCATTTAATAGGCTTTGCAATACAGTTGTGTTGGCTTAGTTATTCATTTGTTCAACACATCTCTGTGCAAAATATAACTGAAGTGATATGAAGAGCCTTCGTGGTTTCTATTAAACAAAAACATATCAGATTGGGTTGGGTCTATGAAAACTTCTCAGTTTTGTCCATTGTAAGGTTTTGCTCAAACATCAAGGCTTTCCAGTACACCCAAAGTTAAGTATCTGTTTGTGTTCAGAATAAATAAGGTATTTTAAGAACTGGGACCGGTTTAGGCTTTGTGCACTTCTGCGAACATTAGAGCTGCTTGTTAACTTCTTGGTGCCCCTTTGAAGTACTCCATTTTCCCATAAACCCTGAGAGGTCTGTCTGCCAGGTTGGGAACACATGGAGGCTTTGTTGAAACTTTCTGTGTTTGATGGCTTATCTGTGTCTGTGCTTTTACACATGTTTTTTCCAAGAGAAAATCTGGAGTGAAGAAAAATACATGACGTGATGCAGGATTTCAGTTTTGAGCAAATCTTGTCTACAGATGAGCTCTTACCTATAATATTATCAAGAAGATAAATATGGATTGAAGTAATTTACGGGTTACTTGGACCACTCGAGTCAGCTCTTTGTAATTTCACTCAGGTAGGGTCAGGTGTCACAGCCATAAGATAGTCAATAATGCCACTCTAGCCTCTTGCTTTAAAAACAGAAACCATCAGTGATGTCTTTCAGCCATTTCAGCCCTGTTCAGTCCTGATAGCAGCAAGCTTAAAGGGAAGGAAGTGGAGAAAACAGTTTTGTTGTGTCATGCAATTGTGGCAGTCTCAAACCTGGGGTCAATCAAGCGTGCTGGCCGGTAAATAAAAACATGTTTGCCACTAATGTGACTAAGTGTAAAGAGCTTTTGTGCCACAGTGAATAGCTGTATGTGTCTTGTTTAAGAATGTGTGCTCATGTCTGTGTTTCTCTGTACGAGAATGATCTCCCTCCCTCTCTCTCTCTCTTTTTTCTTTTCTGTCTCCGTGAATGAGAGTGACATCACTGATTGCTCCTCTGCTCACTAACATTGCCATGCCAGCAAGTAGGGGTTGGAGGGCTGAGAGCGCTTAGAGAATGTAAGAAGAGGAAGGTCCTGCTCCTGCTCCCTCATCTTCTCTCCTTCTGTGTCATCTTCAATTCCCTCTCTCATTCTTCCCTCTCTCATTCCTAAAGATTCCCAGCCTCTGACTGTGCTTGTTGCATGTAAATCCATGTGGTAAAAGACTGTTTTGCCATCCAGCATCGGTGCATGTCTATTCCTCCAAGAAAAGAGGCTGTACCAGACAGAGACGACATGTTTAGATATTTGTGTGTTTGATTTTAGATGTGCAGCCTCTATACGATGCAATTGTGCGTGTGAATGCGTCTGTGTTTCCAATCCACAGTGAGACTCCTCCTTCCCATCATGCCTCGCTGTGTGAGGAATAGAGTTTTGAGAGGAAGGGTTGCCTTGGTAACTATTTCCACCATCTGTGGATGTGGTATTAATATTTGGTAATGTGTGTGTGTGTGTGTGTGTGTACTTAAAAAGATGGAGTCGTCTGTACTCCTAAGGCTTCATCTCCCTCGTCATCGTTCTATTATTTATTGAAGACTAAACGGACAGACTCGGAGGTTACTGTGTTACAACTCAGCCAAGAAGAGATTAGAGGAGTCCACTTTCAGCTCAGAGTATGTGTGTCGTTGAAAAAACAATATGCCATGCCAAATATACACCTGCAGACGCAACTGCAGCCTGCCTTAAGTAGGATAAAATGAGAGAGCAAACAAATCATTAATTTACATCCTGCTGTATTCGTCCTGCTTTGTTGTGTTTCACTGTGTTGTCAGCCCTCTCTCCAGCTTGCTCTGATTCGTACTAATATATCTTTTTTATTCATTTGCATTCAGTCTGAAACTATTAACCCAAGCCAACCTTCTACTTTGATGAATGAAATCATTTCAAAGTAATTTATCGGCAAAGGTCATACACACGTTTTCCCGTTTGTGAAATTGTAATACTCAAACGCTTGTCCTTTTCGATGGCGCTTGTAACTACGAATAAAATGCTTGCTAAAGTTCCTTCTATAACTTGAAAGAGAGAGAGAAAAAGACAAATGTTTTGTTGTTCTATGCTGATGGATAAAGTGGAAGGATCGAATGGCAGTAATTTAAGCTGCTGCTGTCTGCATCATGTCTAGAAAATAAAGACCAAAACAATCAGATACATATTCCAACCAGGAGTGTGTTACAATGAGATAACAGCAGTGGACAAATGAGTGAATATAAAACCTTATGCTAGAGTTCCTGCTCTGAAAGCAGGTTCTATGTGGACCCCAGTGATGCTAGGACACCTATTTTTCTGCTTAGTTTGTTTGAAGGTTAAGGACAGATTATATAATCTTTATAAATAAACAACGCTTGTTGTCTTTTAGTCTTCCCAAAAGAAAGGAGTGTAGAAGTGTAAGTGAGAGGCCTTGTTCCATGGCCGGGGTGGTCAGACTCTTTTTATGCTCTGTGGAGCCTCTAAGTACAGCCCAGGGACACGGAGAGGATGATGATGAATTGCCTGTGTGTGTGTTTAAGTTAGTGACAAGAAGGTGACAGAGCAGAGTGTAAAAGTTATCCCAAAAATAGTCAATTTTCCCAGAGCTGCAGTGCGTCATGTGTCTGTAGCCTAGTGTGTTGTGCAGAGTTATGCTGTGTAACCCAGTTTTTAACACTGACTCATTCTTTTTCCATTTTTTCCTTTTCTCTTTGTTTTTATGTAAGATTTTCCAAAACAGAAAGTCCCAGCAAGACCGAGCCATGATGTAGACCTGACAGCACCATGCTGATGATGATGATGATGATGATGACTACAATGATGCAGGGCCTCAGAGGAAGGAGGGGCAGTGACTGATTCTCTCCTCCTTCACACCACACCTGGCACTCTATGTCTGTCCTGATTGGGTGGCAAGGGTGCTATGTCATCAGCCACACCCCCTGCGGCCCCGCCCTCTAAGAAGGGAAGGAAGCTGGAAAAGTCGGAGGTGATGGCTGACTCTGTGCCAGCCACCAATGAGGAGCTGAGGAGCAAACTCATGGACACCCAGATTGAGCTTCATCAGGAACGGGCCAAGGTAAGAAAAGTGAAGTAGAAGACGCTGAGGTCTTGATGACAGTGACTTGAGAGCAGAGCCCCCCTTTAGTTTATTATACAAGCAGAGGATGGGGAGAATGGGAGGTGTCTTGAGGTCATTTTTATCATAAATTGGTGCTACAGAAATAGATATTGATGGAAAGCCTGAGAGATGAAATACCGTATTTTTCGCACTGTAAGGCGCACCTGATTATCAAACGCACCATCAATGGACGTGTCTATTGGCATCCATTTTCATACATGAAGCGCACCGGATTATAAAGCGCAAGAAGCCAAACAAAACAGTCAGATAAGTCAAACTTTATTTAACTCATTCAATAACTCCGCTAGGCTATGATAGCTGCAATGCTCCGACGAGCCAAAAGGATTTTAAGTGCGCCTTATAGTGCGAAAAATACGGTATTCAATTATTCAAGTAGTTTGACAGCCACAAACATAAAAATGCTTCATTGCTGCTGATAATACATATTGTAAATACAAAGATGTAATACTTAAAAAATGTAAGTATAGTGATGTGAGCTTCTTATGCCACTGCATGCACAAAACTGTTGGTTCCCTTTATTCTGATCTTCACACATAAATATCCCCGCTCCCAGAAGTTGTCATGGTGTTGTGCCTCTTTTTGTAGCAAATGATTGACAGCGTAACTACCCCCTGTGCTGTCTCTGCTCCACACTGCATATGTCATCAGCGCATTTGAAAGATTGCAGTTGCAGCATCAGGATTTAGAAGTACAGTCTTTTTTGTGATGCAAAAAAATGTTACATGAACAGATTCATCAAATAATGAGGCAGGGAATGTGGGAATTAGAGAGTTGAGAAGGACAGGAAAGAGTTGGTAAGTGAAGTGGCTGAGTGTCAAACCAAGGACTGCTGCAGGCTATGGACCTGGATTATGTGCCCAAACCACTAGGCCAACCATCTTGTAACAATTTTGCTGAGGCATACATGCAATGCTTTTTTTTTTACTGATATAAAACTATGTAATCCACCACAGCAGCCACAACTGTTTTCTAAGCGTGTTTCTGTTTCCCCTTGTCTGGAAAACGAAGAGCAAACTTTTAAGCAAAGTTTTTGCTGTCACTCTGCTCCAGGTTGTCATGAGAAAAACTGATGAACACACTGGTATCATATCTCTGATGTTAACTGCATGATTTGATTCTCATGCATCTCTAACGGCAGACTGTATTGCAGGTATGTAAGCTCCGTGAGCGGCTGCAGGAGCAGCGGCAGGCTCGCGAGCTCGATCAGCACAAACATGCAGTAGCAGTCACTGATCTGCGTGCCAAACTCCACGAAGAGAAGCTCAGAGAAATAGCAGCTGTCCGTGAGGCCCTGTCGCGGCAGCATGAATTCGAGTTGGCCCGGTCTATCAAAATCCGGGACGCGGAGGTGCAGAGACTCCAGGCGCTCGTAAACGCACTGAGAGACGGAGCTGCTGACAAGCTCAAAAATGCTCTTCTTGGAGAGGCTCGGGAAGAGGCCAGGAGGGCTTTTGATGGGGAGAGGTTGAAGCTGCAGCAAGAGGTGGGTTGGAGCATTATTGTAGGGGGACAGTTATGCTGAATAAATTATCCCTCTATTACGTATTGTGGAAAAAGTACGAGCGTCATTGTACTGCTGCTATCACATCACTTCTGGCATGCTCTGTTTCACACATGGAAAATTCAGTCTAATGTTTATTATATAATAGTCATTCTGAAAACGTGTGTATGTTAATTGTTGATGTGGGACTGTGGTAACCTTTGTAAATTCACTTCTGAAAAACAGGAAGGAGGGAGGAAAAGCCTGTTGCCAAGCTATTGTTTTACTATAGCATTTCCAGACAAACAGGGCATCTGTCATCACAACTGGTCAATGAGACAGAAAGTTTGTTTCGATATGAGTGTCTATCTCTTTATTATTGTTGCTTTTGTGTAATATTATTCTTTGTTTGTGTGTATTTTAGATCCAGGAGCAGAAAACAGCCAGGAAGCAGGCTGAAGAGGCGCTTGGAAACGCTCTACAGGCGGACAAAGCCAAAGCAGCAGATCTGCGCACAGCTTACCAACAGCACCAGGATGAGGTGCACCGTATCAAACGAGACTGCGAGAAGGACATCCGCAGAGTGGTGAGACCACATGTTGTGTGATAAGACAGCCTTCAGACCCTTTGTTTAACATATCTTAAACTAACATGGCCTCCACATTTTGCCTTGAAAAACCTGATCACATGATATCCTTGAAGCCCTCGGGCCTCCATTTGAGAGTAAGTTTGATACACACGGTGCTGTCATGGATGAAATGAAAAGATCTTAGACTTTCCTGCAAAACCTATCATTCCAGGATAGGTTGGCTCAACAAACCCAGCAGCTGTTACTTTTGTAGTCCGTCCCAGCCCCATCTGTATTTCACTCAGTCTCCCCCTGTAGTGACATCTGTTTTCTGCCTCTGATGTTCAGTTCCAGCACAAGCGTTATCTAACTGATACTATATCAAAGGTTATAGGCTAATTGCTATGCCGTATGTCTGTGCCCGTCTCACCAGGGTGGTGCTTATCTACAAAACTAAAAGTTATATACCTGCCTGCAGTTACTCATTAACCTCCAGTACGAACAGAAGAGCTTTGGTAGCAGGTTTCTTTGTCAGTAAAGGAATGTTTCAGCACAGAGCTTCAAAACATAATGAATTAGAGCGTGGCTGATTAATGCAGAGTGTGTGATTTAGGAAATAATAGTATGAAATATCAAAAATGTAGAGATGGAGTCTTAAAATTAGCAAAGGGAGTTGTGTGGGTGCAAAATAAAGTAAGCTTCATCGATTGATCACTGCTGAAGCACAACATTGTAAGCTAAAACACTTCCCTTACTGTGTATTCAACCATTAGTGCATTCAGTTTGTCAAAGATACTCTTAGGTGTTGATGATGTTGGACGTAAAAACTTCAGCGTCACCCTAAGCATAAATATTTGCACAGGAATCCAGCTGAAAACAACCACACTTGTGTCTTTGTGTCCATCCTTTTTACAGATGGATGAACTGAAGGCGAAGGATCGCGTGGTGTGTGCTCTGGAGAGGGAGCTGGGACTGCAGGCCGGCTATGCTCAAAAGCTCCAGCTTCAGAAGGATGCTCTGGACGAGCAGCTGGGTCACGTACGAGAGGCTGAGAAACACAATCATGGCAGCCCAAAGAGAGAGGTGATGCCTGGGCTGGGGGACCACCAGGACCTGCTCAACAACCAGGTAAATTAAGACAAGAAAACAAATGCATGCATCTGTGTATAAATATGACACAACATCAAAAGCTCAGGCTCAGGAATAAGATTGTTGATGTGGATGTTTAGTTGTAAATAAGGGTGACGTATTAGTAAAATGATTACAGAACTGGAGTTGTTTTTGTCATGAGTTTTGAACTGTTACAAAGTCTTTCAAATAGCATTGAGATTAAAGAAAGAAATCTGGCTTTTGGAGTGTGTCTTGGCTGTGGCTGCAGGTATTATGACTTTAGTTATTACAGAGAAAAACGATTAACTCAATCCCTGAATTAAACCTTCATTGAACTCTTAAACCTAAAACAATAGTCTGGCTTTTGCAGCCACACCGTCGGTTCGTTTGTTTGTTTAGCTAGTGATAGTGGCAGGCTGCCATTTCTCATAGTAAGGGAAGTTAGGACACTCTCAAACTTGAAATGCATGTTTTCTTTCATAATAAAAGGGAAAAAAACTGTCACAAGCCAAAAGTTAAAACTCACTCTTTAATGAAAGCATTTGGATAAACTTTCTGTGTACTGTGTGTTCTGTGTACATAAAAGTTCACAGTAGCACTGAGTAAAAGACATCTTATCTTTCATCCTGCCATCTCCTCTGTGCAAACTCCCCTCATTATTTGCTTTCTTGCCTGCCTGCCTGCCTGCCTGCCTGTGTGCCTGCATGTGATCCCTTTTTTAGATCTTGTCTCTCTCCTCCTCTCCTGTCCCCTCTGTTCCACAGGAGGTCGAGGAGCGTGACATGAGGAGGTTCCAGCTGAAGATCGCAGAGCTCCACTCCGTTATCAGAAAACTTGAGGACAGAAATGCACTGCTGGCAGATGAAAGAAATGAACTAGTAAGGAACACATGCAACATGACCTAGATATAGCGATTATAGGCATTAAAATATTTACACACTTGTTGTTGTACTTTTCAATAATGATCTTTGCACATAAGTCACAAAAACATGTGTGCCAGTGAGCGGCATCATAAAACATTGTTATTCAATCCTTCCAGCCTTGATCCGGCCTCTCCTGCTCAAACTGGAAATTCAGTGTCAGAAGTCAAGGCTTGAGATTCTAGTATTTCCCCTCCCTGTTTCCTTCCTCTTACTAGTTGAAGAGGGTGCGAGAGGCTGAGAGCCAAATGAAGCCCATGTTTGAGAAGAATAAGCGGCTGTCGAAGAAAAACGATGACCTCCTGCAAACTCTTCAGCGCATGGAGGAGAAACTGAAGACTCTTAGTCGGGAGAACGCTGAGATGGTGAGATTCAACCAGCAAAGCTTTCCACTCGTTCAAAATTAAATAAATAGTAAAACTGAAAAACAAAAGCTGATTTGCCATGTGTTAAGATAAGTGGATGGCGCCACTTATCTGTAAATCAAGCGTACCCTCATGACCGAGACCAGATGTCTGTCACCTCTTCAATACCAGGAGGATAAAAGATGGAGAGACAGGTTAACTAAAGCAAATTATCTGAGAAACAGAACAACTTCAACTGAAACTGAAATACTGCCCGCTCTTTTATTGTGTATATATAGTGTAGTCTTATATTTGGGTCAACACAGTTATTATTTTAAAGGTGGGATTTCGGTTACTTGACTTCCAGGTGTCACTGAGAATTTCAGTAAAACAAGAAACAGGACCTCTGCTGGCCACCTCAGGTAATGCATTACAAAAAAAGCCTCTGTGTCTTTGTGTGACTCTCTCAGAAAGAAAAAGCCTCCTCCTCTCGGCATCCCTCACAACAACAGTCCATCCAGCCACAGCTAAAGAGGCCGAGCTCCCTGACCGATCTGAGCCATGCCCACGAAGAACAGGAAGTGGAGTTCCTCAAGCTGCAGGTTGCTGAACAGAGAGGCATCATCGATGAGCTCATGCAGGTGAGAGTATCACCCAAAGGTGTCACTGTCTTCATGTGAATAGCCTTTTGGTACTCTCTGGTCTGCTTGACATTTTTCCACACCAATTGAAATTAAAATAAAGAATGTTGCAACATTTTTGTCCTAATCTCGCCACTCACTGAGTTATATCTGTCATGTTCGGCCGCAGGAACGTGACAGGTTGGTGATGACCAAAAAGAACAGGAGGAAACCTCTCAAGCTGTCCAAAGTAAGTGTCCCTGAGCACCTTGGAAATTCAGTTACTCCACTGTTGTGTAACCAAGCAACTATCCAATCTGGGGTTTAATTGAGTGAGTGCATATCTGTGTGTGTGCGTTTTTGTTTAATTGGGCTCAGGAGAGAATGAAGAGAGCATCTCTAACAGCAGGGCGCACCACACTGAGCGCACACACACGCACACACGCTCACACATCAATTGTTCTTACAGCTGATGGAAAATTAGATTCATTTTTGCTGTTGTGTCATTTGATTGTAAGTATTTGGTGATAAAATGAGAAAATGAATATATCCATCACAAATATTGCAACTTAATTTGTTTGCAGCAGCTGTATCTATTTTTATTTTTTCTGTGTAGTAAAGAGCGGAGAGGGAGATCATGATCACAAATTAGGTGGACAGGTAACACCTGTGTGTGAGTTTGTGTTTGCGCTGATACATCAGGGAGCATATTAGTGTTGTGTTGTTGCTAGGTGAAGGTTGTGGATGTGTGTCAGATATTTTCCTCTACCTCTTCTGCTTCAACCAGTTTAGGTGGATGCTCTGTGTGGTAAAGCAGCTCGGCTTTTTGGACTCACACCCTTTTAGGAATTTAAAGCAACCTTCAGGCATGAGCTTTGAGACCAAACAGATGAAAACTGGTTTTTGGATATTTCTGTGAGAGCAATTTCATTGTAACGAGAAGCTTCTTAATTTTATGGCTTTTTTGACTTTTGACGTTGACATTATATCCAACCTTTCAAAGGACCTTCGTCATAGTTGGTGTTGAGGATTTTGTTGTAGTAGCGACATGACGGAGTACATCCTCCTTATCCTTTATTTTTCTTCCTTTATTTGCCTCTGTGCTTTAGTCTGCCTTTACTTCTCTGGTTGCCAGGAGATGACTTACAAACATGATGGTAAGGACTGAGTGGGGTTTGTGATAGTTAGTACTTGAAAAGAAGAGAACAAAGATGCTTTATCAGAGATGAGGATTCATTTCAATTCTGATCACAACAGTCAGGTTTAAGACCAAATTTTGGCAAATGACTCCTTTTAAAAAATGCAGCTTTGTTGAAGTCAACAGAAGATAGCTGCTGGTTTTGAAACTTTCATTAAATTCAAATTCTCAAATCAAAAATTCAAGTGATTGTTTTATTTTTTTGACTTTAAATAGATTGGTCAAAATATAGAAGTTTAAGTTTTATATGTAATCCTCTTTTCCTCCCTGCAGAGGCATGTTGTGGAGACATATTTTGGATTTGATGAGGAGTCGGTAGACTCTGAGACCTCCTCCTTGACGTCCTACAACACTGACCTCACTGACCGCACGCCTGCAACTCCCGAGGAGGACTTGGAAGATGTAAGAAAGTCCAGTATTTGTATCGACAGAAATCATTTAAACCATATTTGAGTGTTAAAAGAGTTCAAAGACATTATGCATCAAATGAGCATAATCTAGAGAGGAATAAACAGTTTACAGATGGAGAGTTGTGCTGTCAAAAAGTGGCAATCCCAAGGTTTCCGTGTATTCTTAATTATACTCCCCTCTTTTTCCTCCACACATTTAACACATTTTTTTCTTTTTCCTATGACAAAGACTGTAACCCGTGAGGAATCAGAGCTTCGCTTCCGTCAGCTGACCAGGGAGTACCAGGCTCTCCAGCGCGCCTACGCCCTTCTACAGGAGCAAACGGGAGGCTCTCTGGATGCTGAGAGGGAGGCCAGGGTTTGTATAATCATTTATATAAACTTTTTTTGTTACTTTTCCATAAATGTATGACTGGAGCTTGGTCTTTAAATTTGTCATAATTCATCAAGCATATTCCCCTCCAGCCCCCTGATGACTGATCTTTTCTCCCACAGACGCGTGAGCAGCTGCAGGTGGAGCTCAGCAGTTGCCAGGCAAAGATTGTGGACCTGGAGAAAGCCCTGGCTGAAAGGGGGCAGGTAACAAAGACAAGGGACTGCGCCAGGAACTCACTGGCCTTGCTCTCACTGGCCTGCATGCTCTGCCCTCATCCTTTGTTCTTCCTGTTGTTCACTCTGCGTCTTGACTCTTCGAGAGCCGTTGAGCCAGGAGAGGAGAGTTAGACCTGTAAATAGGAACACTATATTTTTGTCTGGTAATGTCACACATCTTGAAATCAGGAACACCGAGCTAAAATGATCTTAACTTATTTAATATGTACAGCAGTGGTCATTATGAAACACTTTGAGAACTAAACCAAACCAGTCCACGTAAGGAGGAAAAGTGTTGGCTGTTGTGTGAAGATTGTGTCAGTTAAGAGCACATTCAAAGCTTACACATTAACTTCACTGATTATCATGAAGAACATTCAAATTAATTTAATTTAAAATGCTCATTTTTTTCTTTATCTGTGAAGATTTTTTAATTGTCACTCTATGTTGTTTATGTTGATCGGTCCAACTCTGTTATGTTAGTTTTCTGCTCTGCTTTTTTCCACCTTAGACTGTCTTCAATTCCTCCTCTTGCAGTGAAACCTTGCTACCTGTGGGTGCAGCTCTATTGCCTTTTTATCCTGGAGCTTTTTTAATTTCTTTAGATCAATAAACTCATTCCACTCCCACTCTGTTCCTGCTTGTCTGTGTCTATCGTACATTTGCATGTGTCATTTGGAAATGCAGCAGATGGTCACTGAGTGCTCTGCTATAAGTGGGCAGACAGCTTCATTCATTCATTCCACCCTGTTGTGGGATCCTTTCCTTCCTCCCTTTTCTTTTCCGGTGACATTTCTTGCTGATGTTGTGTTTGGTTGTCATGGCAGGATTCAAAGTGGGTGGAGGAGAAGCAGTACTTGCTCAGGACCAATCAAGAACTTCATGAGAAGGTAGGCTGTCATAAGCTTGTACTCACTTTGATGCATTACTTTAGTAGCAACTAAGACCCGATCTCTAGTTTATTTCTGTACATTTGCTCCGACTTGTGCCAGATAAAGCTTGATATCAAGTGTTTAGATACCTCTGATGTATGATGACACAATGACTCTCCTTCTCTGTGAAGGTACTTTATATAACTATTCAATACCGTGTCTTTTGTACTGCCCCACAATCCTTTTTAATGACACATAGAAGGGGGGTTTCATGTAGGGATGCAACGATTATAGATTTTCACTGTAGGATTATAGTATGAGGAATAATCCCGGTTTCACGATTATCACGATTATTATACATAAATTTCACAGCACTACTAATACTACTTTATAAAATTACATGAACATTCTTGAGTGTTCTTAATGTACTATTTATTGGCAGAAAACAGTAATCAAACACCACAGTACAAAATAATAAATAAAGATAAACAAAAAAATCTAACTCGCCTTTGAAAGGGAGAGCAACAAATAAACAGTGTCTTTGTCTGTTTGAAATTAAATAGAAGCAACATATTAGCTGTGTGTTTCCCTTTAAAACAAAACTGCTCCGTAAACATCTGTTTTCCCTTTAGAATAATACATATGGAGTGACTGATCAACTATATTACAAAATTATTTCGTATTTTCAGTTTGTTATTTTTTCTGCATTTATGGACCTGAGTAGAGTAGCTGCCTTTTGAAACAATAATACTCTAATAGTGAAAAAAAAAAGAAACAAGGTCCATATCTTTGGAATTAAATGCAAACCTTTTTGCCTTTTTAACAGAACAAGTACTCAAAGGCTACAGAACCCATCTACATCAGGGCCCTTTTCACAAACAGCACATTTATTTCAAGTCCTTTCAGTTCAAATTATAGTGCAAAAATGTGAGCATGTTCACATTGTCAGCGCTCAGTCTTGACCGCTGAGGAGACAGGATATGGCCACTTGCACTGAACACCCTTTCTGAAGGCACACTTGTCGCAGGAATACACAGATACTTTTTGGCTACTTTCGAAAGCATTGGCATTTCTTCCGCATGTGCTTTCCACCAATCCAGTGGGTCAGCATCTGCACTGATTGCAGGAAGAGACAAGTACAATTTAACCTCAGAATCAAGTTTTTCGGTGGATGACACTGCACTTCCTGAAGTTCCTGATGCTGCTGACATGTTCTTCCTTGTGGTGATTTGCTTTAACAACCCAGACAGGCTCTTCTCTTTACTTTTGTTTGTGGTGTTGGTGGAAGAGGTGCTCGGTGTTGTCGCTGCTGGAGGCTGTCTTGTGTCTGACTCTGGAGATTCCTGTGCTGCAAGTGTTAGTGCTTCATCACTGCATGCCTTGACTGTTTCATCCAGATTCTCAGCAAAGTTTCCCTTGAACCTGGGATCCACAAAACTGGATATGTTCAGCACATTCTTCATTTCCTCTGTATATCTTAGCTGCATTAGCAGGTCTTCTCTCATTACTTGTTTCATTTGTTTAGTGAGAGTGCTGTCTTCTTCTTGATCACCAAGTATCTCATTGGTGATGTGCTCCAAGATTGGCTTCAGGGAGGAAAGTGTGACTTGTCTCTCTGAGGCCAGGACATCAGTGAAGTCATGGAGAGGGCAAAGGAGCTGGCTTACTTCTTCCAGGACAGTGATGTCATTGTCTTTAGGCATAAGATGCCAGGTGCTTCTGTCGCCTGCTAACACCCCACAGATGGCCGGCTGCTGCTCCAAGAACCTGGAAATCATTTCAAATGTGGATCCCCACCTGGTGACAACATCATGTATCAGTGAATGCCCAGGGATGCTCAATTCTACCTGCTTCTTTTGAAGCGCACGTTTCCTTTTCCAGCTTCGAGAAAACCCTTGTACCAAATGTCGGCATGCTCTGGTAGCAGATTCCACCCTGGAGATCTTGAGGACTTTGGAAATGGCCAAATTTAAATTATGACCAAAACAAGAAAACCAAACACAGGGAAATGTTTCAAAGGCTTTCCTCATGTTACTAGCATTATCTGTTGTAATTCCAGACAGACTTTCTTTCTTTATCTTCCATTCCAGGAGCATGTTTTCCATCATTTCTGTGATATGCTCTGCTGTGTGATCTTCTGGAAAATAAAGAGTCTCAAGACAGTGAGACTTGAGTTTCCAATCGGAGGAGATGTAGTGGACTGTAAAGCTCATAAAGGGTTCCCCTCTACCACCACTGCTGGTCCACAGGTCTGTGGTAGCACCAAAAAACACACCCCCTGACAGCTGTTCCACCACACTCGCTCGTACCTCCTTGTACATGGCTGGGATTTTGTTTGAGGAAAAGTAGCTTCGTGAAGGAACTTTGTATTGTGGCACTGTCTTTTTCATTAGATGGAGAAATCCAGGTTTTTCCACAATCTGAAATGGCATCATGTCTTTGGAGATGAAATAGGCCACAGCTTCATTCAAATCCTGGGCTTGTTTTGAAGAGGGAGCATAGGTCACAGACTTCGAAAAAGATGCCGCCACAGTAGGTTGTTGAAGTGCAGAACTAGAGGTAGTCTTAAGCTAAAAGTGAATAAGAAAAATTAAAATAAATAAACATGCCATGAACCTTGGATTTGCAGTAATGATTTAAGTTATTTTTAAATGTTTGAAATTAAGTATTTATAAATAAAGTATTAAATGAAGTAAAACATCTCTTATGCCGTGTTAATAATAACTAAAATGCAATTAATTAGATCCCAAGACGGGAAGAAGAAAACTTCATTGACTCCGCCAGATGGTGCCGGAGTCAGGTAAAACATGCCGCTTTGCGGCTGTTTGTTTACATTGAATTTAGAGCTCAACTCTCACTGCTACGCCACTGATTGTATGTGACACGTTTATACTTGACTCCCTACCAACTCAATGTTTCCTTAGGTAACTTGTTCTAAACGTAATTTTACTCGGTCATTGTGTGTTACCTTTACTTCAGCGTGTGAAGTCGGGTGATGATCCCGCAAATGCTGCATTAAATTGGATGTATTCGATCCCTTAGCCGCAACTTTTTTGCGGCAGGCTTTACAAATTGGTGCACCGTCGTCCTGAAGGACCCCCTGGTCATTTTTAAGATAACCAAAATGCTCCCAAACTCCCGACTTTATTTTTTTCTTCGGCGGAAAGAGAGCGTCGCTCCCGGGTGCTTCTGCCATCATTAGCTCATTTAGCGTAGCCGCGTTCTTCTTCTTCGTCTTCTTCTTCTTGCGTTGTTTCCAGCAGAGTAGTCACGTGTCTCCTGATCATATGACAGCACGGCACTAAAAGCAGGTGCATCGCTGGTGTAACTTTGTTTTCCTTTCGAGCAGGTTGCGGCAAAATAGCATGTCATCCGTTTTTTGCGAGTGATAACAAACACTCGGTGTTGCGGAGCCTGTGGGATTAATTAACCGTGACGTTTTAAATCGCGGTTAATAGTACTATGGGTTAATCGCTGCATCCCTAGTTTCATGTAAGGGATGATGCCTAATAAGGTATGCATGATCAGGAATTTGTTTACAACTTGGAGTTGCATGTTGGATAGTTACTATCACTGTCTGTTGTGATAATAAATCTGTTACTGTGATCTGTTACTGTCTTGAGTTTCATCCTGATATTGCAGACCTTGTTAATCTGAGAAAAAAATAAAGATATTAGAGCCTTTGAATTTATTCATCTGTGGTGCAAAAATAGGTAGGGCTCTAAACCAATCCTGAGTGATATGATACCCTCAGCTATGACCTTCCGGAGGTTCAGAAACATCTTTTATAATATGATTTGTATTAGCATTTGTATGTTCAGTAACATTTATTTAAATTGTTTAAACTATTTTTTAGAATTTAAAATTTGTGACAGCTGTAAGACTTTTAGTATCTTGAAACAATGTTAAACCACAGTATTTACCACAGTATTGTCCATGTGTGTCTGTAGATGTGTGTGTTGCAGCAGACAGAGTCGAGGCTGCAGGCCGAGGTTCAGGACGCTCGGGATCAGAATGAGCTGCTGGAGTTCAGGGTGCTTGAACTGGAAGTAAGAGACTGTACTAATGTCATACTGTCACCAGGTGGCGACAACAACAACATCAGCACCAAACTCAAGACCTACATACAGTGACTGAAAATACAGACAGACAAACAGACAGACATACTTGAGTCCTCTGTATGCATTTGTGTGTGTTGCACTGTACTGCATGGCAGCTGTGTGTATACCCCATCCTTTGAACTGGAATATTTTTTAAAGAAGAATGTTGTGTCATGATGGATATTATTTTGAATGGAATAAAAATCTATTTAAGTTCACCGTTTAATCCCATCTTTGTTCATTTTGTCTCTCATTTGTCCATGCCATACATTTTGTTTACCATTTTTTGTCAGATAAAGGGCTATTTCCACAAACAATACAGGGAATACTCAATGTAGTGAGATTTAGGAGTTATTTTGTAAATTTATGTTAATTCAGATTACAGCACACAGATATATTTAACAGTTTGATGCATGTTATTAGTAACTATCGCATTTCTTTCTGTAGTGGTTGTAGTCGGGTTTAGACAGAGCAGCACCCGTTTGAGTTTCTGCATGTGTTTACATTCTCCCCCATTGGTTTGGTTTGGTTTGGTTCCTTGGTCCATTTATATCTATGGATTCCCACCTCCCTCAGTTTGGCAGATCCTGACCATGTTTTCAGTTTCATGTAAGTAAATCCCCTCTTCATTCCCTTTCCATTCACATTTAGTACATAACAGTGTCAGTCATCCCCATTAAGGCTCAGTGCACCACAAACTGTTGCATCTCTCTAGAAATGTCATTTTGGTTGTTGTGATGATTTCTTTGGATGTGTGCAAATAAAAGTTAAATGGTGTGTTCTTCTGTAGGAGAGGGAGCGCAGATCTCCTGCCCTCAATCTGCACATGTCTGCATTCCCTGAAAATAGCAGCAGTGCTCTGCAGATCTACTGCCACCAAGAGGGAGTCAAGGTAATCACACAAAGAAAGAAAAAGGGTTTTCTTCAGGATTCCTCATACACGTAGTCAATATGGTGTCTAATTACGACCTTTGTGCAGGATGTTATTATTCCTGAGCTGATGAAGAAACTGGATATCCTTGGAGATAATGGGGTGAGTTCAGAACTCAAACTGTCAAATGAAAAGAAATTCATGTATCCCTTTTTGTAGCTGTTTCCATAATCCTGTTATTTCTGTTTTATTTTCTGTAGAATCTCAGAAATGAGGAGCAGGTAGCAGTGATCCAGGCAGGGACGGTGATCTCACTGTGTGAGAAGGTGAGTGGAGGCTCTCACAGATGTGTCCTCACAGTTTTACAACATTAGATAACATTGACGCTAGAGTTTGAGTGAGTTTTTTAAAACTAGAATATAGGTTTAAATAAAACCTTTTTTTTAGCATCTAAGAAAGTATAAACCTCTCGCCTCTTCTCTTTTCTCTCAATCCTCCTTGTACAGTGGTTGAAGCAGATCGATAACACTGAGGCTGCCCTCACTCAGAAGATGATTGACTTGGAGAATGACAAGGTGAAAATCAGTCTACCATTAGAAAACTTAAAAATGTTCTGTCCCTTAAGTGGTGTGAGATGCAAAAATATTGGCTATCAGTTCCCTGTATTTGCTTCATTTCTCTGCTGCCATAATTTGAACCTTTACATCCGTATGTGAAATTTTGTACTAACAGTTTTCCTTATAACAGAAAAAAAACTTCATTACATCCTCAAGCAGTGCATTAATGTACTCTCTTGAATATTGTTGCAGGAGCTGTTCAGTAAGCAGAAAGGATTTCTCGAGGAAGAACTGGACTACAGGAAGCAGGCCTTGGACCAGGCTTACATGGTATGGAACCAAGGGCACTGTCACCTGTATTTATCTCTTAATACAGTATTGTTTTTCAAATAAACTAAATCCACCTAATAATTTTTGTTTTCACACTAATCAAGGCTGCGTATAAGACAGAGTGGTTTTCGATCAAAGAGATTAGCATTGTCATCCTAACATGACACATAAACATTTGGAACCCATTCAAACATCATCAATGCTCCATGAAGGTTAAATTTGTCAAAGTGTGTCGGGATACTGCATCTTTTACCACTGAAGTCTAAATTCTGTGAAAAAAGCCAGGGTACCGAGCTTCTTCTCTTTTGATCCGATACTCATTTATTTCGTGAGAAAGCCAACAACTGATTTTGACACCTTTAAATATAAAAGATGGATATTTGATACCATTTGAATATTTCTGTATAACATATTTGAAATAGAAGGATACTAAAAAAAATAAAATTTTTAAACAGAGTGAATTGTATAAGATTTTGATGATGAATCTGGATAGCATGAATGCGCTTGAAACTTGCTCTCACCCCAATGACGTCAACAGACTGTACCCACAAAACTGAAGTCAACTTTTAGCTCACTCTACATGAAGTATTAACCATTTGATTTGGTCAGTTTAATGTTGGTTTGTGTTTATTGTTCCACTTCGTTTTGTGTAGGTAAAGGTTTGGTTTTTAGATGGTGACTGTTGGAGAAGTTCACCTGTAGAAGGCAGAAAATGTAAACCTGTTAAATTATGTCATTGTGATCAAGTTGCCATGTAAAGGTCAACCCTGAATAACCCTCAAGACAAAGTGGAACAGTGTTCCTCATTTCTGCCATGGTCACAGTGGTGTATGGTGTATGTTTGTGTACCTGTATCTGTTTGTGTGTGTTAATCCATGTGTGTGCGTGTGCATGCCTGTATGTGTCTGCATGCGCATGTGCACGTCCATATGTGTGTGTGTTTGTGTACCTGTATGTGTGTGTATATGGCTGGCTGTGCAGAGGATCGAGGAGCTGGAGGCCACGCTGTATAGCGCTCTGCAGCAGGAGCAGCCAGCATGCCGGGAGGTGGCCGAGTCGCTGACAGACAGGCAGAGGGAGGAGCTGAGGCTAGCTGTGGAGAAGCTGCGGCGTCAGATTCTCCGGCAGAGCCGGCAGTTTGACAGTCAGATCTTACAGGAGCGCATGGAGCTCCTACAGCAAGCCCAGCAGGTAAGGTTTAAAACAAATTGAGTCAGGTTACTGAGTACTGCCCTCCCTCAATCTGACCCTGGCCCATGTCTGAAACATGTGACCCCACCAGACCTCTGGTGCTCTGAAAAAGATGCAGTATCCCTTTGTGTGCAACCCCTAACTCTACCCGTAAGTGTATATTGAGAGGTGGAAGGGTGAGAAGATGAGACAGACTGGCTGTGTGAGTGTGTGTACTTAACATCATTGTGATCCGACCCCTCCACTCCTCCCGTATCCTATCACTCTGCAGCCCTCACAGTAGTCTACACCCATGGCTCGTACAGTAAATGTTTTGCATTGAGTTCATCAAAAGCCACAGCACCATCAACTCATTTGAATAAGTTTCTTTGTAAAGTACTAACAAAGTTTGCCTGATACTTAGCCCTGAACACTTTTTATGAACTTTCTATGAAATTAACAAATCAGTCAAATATTTTTCAGATGTTTCTGATGGAGTTAGAGTAGATTTTCTCATCTTTTTGAGATTCAATAAGCCACAGACTATCAGTCATGCCTGGAGAATTATAGCTATCATTAAAACTTTATCTACCTCTAAAGAGTAGTAAAATTCAGTCTCTGATCACATAGCTGTGCCTCTGTTTTAACACTTGTCTGTCTGGCTTACTCAACAGCCCAGTAATTAACCCCCAAGAATTTTTATCGAGGCTATTGAAGCTTGTGATTTACCAGTAAGTTAGGAATTTCAGTGTGTGATAGAGTATTTGCAAATCTTCATGTAACAGATTATTTTAACCTTACACGTTTTTTAAGATATCACAGCTCATATAAGATTTTTATGATGAAAACACAAGCATCAATAAATGAGATGCTGGGGTTAAACATCTCAAAGCTGTAGCTTACTGCTGAAATTGCTCTTTGGTTGCCATGGTGGCTTATTGTAACCTGACACAGGTCCTGCTGGGACAAAGGGCATAATAGGAAGGAAAGAACTGTGTGCAGAAATAGTTTGATCACAGTTTTTTTTTATTTTTTAGATCATATAAGATCTAACCTATTGGTTTTAGTTTTAGAGATCCTCATATTTTAAACCACCTAACCTTTCTTTTTTGCCTTGCAGAGAATTAGAGAGCTGGAGGACAGAATTGACATGCAAAAGAGACAAATAAAGGAAATAGAGGAAAAGGTACTTCCGCAAATTTCATTTGTGTCTGTTTGAGAGAGCTTCCTCTCATGGCTCATAGAAGAAATAACAACAGTATCTCATTTAGGAAAAGATTAGTGTATGAATGTGAGGGGGTTTACATCTGCAGTACTGATACCACGTTTGATTGTATTAATTTCTCGCTCTTTTCTTCTCCCTTTTTTATCCATCTATGAAACCCCTGGTGTTCCTTTAGTTTCTGTTCCTCTTTTTGTTTTTTTCTTTAGCATTTATTCTTTGGCCTTAATGAAAGTGACCATGGACCCACATCAGGTACCACCCTTTCTCTCTGTATCATATCAGTATTTCACACAGTTATCGTGCTGATAGAAACAACAAAAACGCAGTGAAGCAGGAATTACAACATGTTTTGCTTTTTCTTAGGTGTTTTGGTGCTGTGGAAGAAAACAAGGACTAAACAAAACCTTATTGTTTTTTATGCATTTGTAGACAGCTCACGAAAACCCTATGGCCTTTTTGATAAGTGTGCACTTTTGCAGAAGACCCTTACCTGGAATGCAAACATATTTGAAAATGTGATAAATAAACTGATAAACATAAAATAAAAGAAATATTTATGTATAAATGACATTTACAAAAGAGGTTATTGGACCTGGAATGAGATAACTCCTTTGTAAGAAGCTAACACAGATATACTTAGAAAAAAAAACTCTGAATCAGAGGATTTATTAAAGGAGAAGAGCCACAGCCTCAGATGAAGTAATGCCTGGTTGGACAATGGAAAAGGGGAGAAAGAGAGAGAGGAAGAGGAGTGAAAGAGCAGGGCCAAGCGAGGGGGCGAGCAAGCAGAGCGCCAGCTGGATAGAGAAGATTTTGGCAAAGCCCAGCGTCTGTGCTGTAGCCAAGGAAACGACAGCCCAACCAAGTTCACACAGCAGAAGCAGAACTTACCGGAGGCTCGACGCTGCTTTGAGAAGATACACGGGTGAGATTTGATGGGTGGGACGAAAATCAAGGTTTTTATTGAAGTTTACCCATCAAAAACCAGCAAGTTATTATTTTTCTCATTGTACATGTCCTTATTGGTCATCCACTAACCTTTGCATGCTAATCTGTATTCAACTAATGGGTGGAACAGCAATGATTAGAGCTGAGATCACTTGTTTTAATTCTCACATGTGCTTGTGAATGTTAAAATTTTAAAAAGCGTTACATTTTATTGGACTGAAAGATTTTGAAATGTGGCGGGAGAGGGTGCAGGACGATAAGGAGGCGGGGTAACCTGAGAGACACCTGTGCTGGATAACTTGCTACCAAGCTGTTGACATGTTGAATAATAGATGACTGTATTTCTGCTTCTATATCTTTGTATATAACTTCCTTTATCTGTGTTTGTGTTTAAAATGTTTGTGTGAGAAAACAAAACCACACAGTGAGAAAATAGATTTTTAATGATGTCCAGCTATGTTATACTGATTAAATCTGACACTGTGCTGCAGGTGAAACTCACCCAGTTGGCACAGGATACCCATTGGAGGATCACATGACCTCAGACAGGAGGAATACCGGAAGCTAATATGTAACCATGGTAACGGACTCAGTGAGAACTTGTACAGATCCGAGCCTGAGTTCTGTGAAACAGACGGAGGGTCCTTGACTGAACTGAAGCTACCTGAGGAACAGGTGAGAGACTGGAGGACACACACACACACACACACACACCTATACTACATCCTTACTTTTGGATGAGGTGATATCACATATCACACACCTGACTGTGCTGCACACTATCATGCAAGCCCTCTGCTGCTGACACCCACCGAGGAATTACTCTGGCTGAGAGGTTTTATTGGTGTGTTCTCATCTTTTTGCTCATTGGAGGACGTTTTTTTATCAAACTAAGTTGTTGATCCATCTGGCCTTATGTTGGTGTAAAAATTCAGTTAACCAGATCCTGTCATGTGATCTTGTCTGTCAGGATCAGAGTCGGAGATCTCTGTGAGGAGTCCGCTGCTGCAGCTCCACTGGTTATTCTTGGCCTCCAAACTCCCCAGCATGCAACACTCCCAGAGGCTGGACCAGAGACTCCACATGCTCAGGAAGGAGGTCAGGATCATGGTTAGTGTTCTTCGCTTTTGAACGCAGCAGTAGGCGTAGAGGCACAACATGAAGAGTGCGATGCGTGTGTGTGAGTCTTGAAGAGTGACAGTAATCTGACAGTTTTTAATTGTAACAAAGTAGATCTGGACAGAAAAATAAGTTTTGTTTGCAAAAGGGGGGACAAATGAATAGATAAGAAACCAAAACTTAATCTATTTAAGTTCTTGTTATATTATGTGTGTGATGTGTGTCTGTTGGGGTCTGTCTGTGAGTTTGTGTCCTGTCTTGCTCCCCACTCTCATCACTTTATCTCTTCCTACTTGCATCTCCTTATATGAATTGTCATTTATTTAGCATTTAGCACCAAATCAAGACAGCAATTTCATTGGCTTCATTTCCTTTTTAAATGTATTTATCTCCATTGCCCTTCATATTTAAAAGAACTCTTAATTCAATACAACTCCCCATACTCACTTGTTGGCAAGTTGGCAAAAGATCATGACAGTATAAAGCCCCATCAGATTGGAATAACCTACCTCTTTCTTTGCGTTCTATTACTTCTTTTTATCACTTCAGAATGGCACTATACTCTCATCTCAGAACAAATTGCTCATGTTTCTGATTTATTTTCTTTACTTTTTTTGCATTTATGTTCACATTATTTTTTCTTGTTAATAAGTTTTGTCTACTTTCTATGTTAGGCGTATGTTGGTTGGGGTTGTGTGTGGGAGTGGGGTGAGCAAAATGTCTGTATTTGTTATATGTTATGTATGTTAATGTATTGTAATGTGTCCTGAGTTCTATGTATGTATGTTTGTTTAGGGACCCCCTTGAAAATGAGACGCTACATCTCAAGGGGATATCCTTCAATAAATTCAAATTCAAACTACATTTTTTTACTCAAATAAAAATTGATCTTTATGTAGTGAATCAATTTAAAATTGTCCTTTGCATGCATGAAGAAATTATTCTTCTTAAAAAAGACTAGCACTGTTTGTAATTCTCTTATGTCATTGTATAATTTTGAAAATACACCATATTAATTCACTTTTTTTCCAACTTGACTGACAGTATGACCTCAGCTTGGCAAAAAAATGGCTGCCTCATTCATTCAATGCCTCAATTCAACATCAATTTTTTAAAGTTTCAATATATGGGACTTTTTGGGGTGTTACTTTTCAAGCTTTTAAGTTGTTATTCTTGACTTTCAAAAAAAAAAAAAAGTGATTTGTTTGCTCCTGAGCAGGAGATGAATCATAGTAAACAGTAGGAGAGCAACACACAAACTTAGACCTAATCTAAAGGGCATTAAGGAGACCTCTTAGGTACTGTAGTGGAAGTAGTTTTAAAGAAAGACTTTATTATCAGGTATCACCAGGAAAACTAGTTTTCTTTGTGAATTTTATATTTCCTCTCTGTTAAAATCTTTCTTTCTCTTTTGTTCAGGCTCAGGACAAAGAGCATGGGGACCAGATTTGGATGGAGCGACTGCAGCGCTGTCAGAGGCAGCTAAAGGCCAAAGACGATGAGATGAGTCGCCAGTCTCAGTACTTTGAGAATTTTAAAACCCAACTCCAGCAGAAGCTCAGCCTGGCCCGCGACAAAGAGCAGAGCCTGCAGAACCGGATCTACACTTTAGAAAAGCAGCTGTTGGACATGACTGTAAGTGCTGCCACTGGTATGACCATGATCAGTGCTGTCAGGATCACTGCAGGGACTGTGACACGCTGGGAAGAACAGCAGAGGCTACCTCCCATGAGAGGAGAGGGTGAAGGAGAGGAGGAGAGAAAGGAGGAGAAGAGGAAACAATGGCAGCCAAGTGAGAGTATGATGGAGAAAAATAAGCAAGAAAATCAGAATTCAAATGAGGCCAGACTGCAAGGTTTCATCCTGAGTCTGCAGGAGGATCTCCAGGTGCTGCTGGAGCGAGAGGAGGAGGGGCTGACACAGAGGAGGGAGCTGATGGAGCAGCTCCAGGAGGCTCAGGAGAGTAGCCACCTCTTGGGCTGCAAGGTGGAGGAGATGAAACTAGAGGTGGACCTGCTGAAGCAGTCTGAACGCTCCTTGTTGGAGAAGGTACAGGAAGTAAGAGAGGAGAATCACAGGCTCCAGCAGATCATTAAAGATCCTGCTAGTCAAACATCTGAGGTCCCTGAGTCCACAACTATCGATCCTGGAACCAGGTCTCCCTTTTCTACTACAACTGTTTGTCCTGTGCCCTCCAACGCTCACTCTTACACCACAGCCACAGGACATACCTCAGAGTCTAGCCTTGGAGAGGTGTGTAAAACATCCTTATCAACCTAAGACCTTATTATCTCATTCTCTTAAATGTGTCAAGAAATATGGTGTACATGAAGACAGCCTTTTTGTTGCCCTGGTTTTTGGCCACCCTGGTTTTTATCATAGAATAAAATCCAATATCATCTACTTTTCTGAAACTCAGGACACAGAGATAACAGCATCAAGTTGTTCTAAGGTTAAATGAAAACCCTGTCAGGACAGGATAGCTCCAAAATGTAGGTCACAAATATACATGGTTCACAGAGAAAGTCAAAACTGTCCACACAATAATAGACACTTTTTTGTCTGAAGATTATCAATTAATTTTCTCAGTGTGACTGCTGCGGTATCCCAGAAGTACTATTAATAATAAGCAGTATTTATTTTGGTAATTTTGTATGCATTGAAATTCTCAGGAATAGGTTCAAGAGAAATATGAGCTCTTAGAAACAAATCCTTTAATTTAAGACAATTTTGGTTTGATAGGATTAGTAAAGCTAGTAATTTTCCATGAATTGTTTTGAACATTCCTTAGCTGGACCAAATATGTTCGGTTAAGTCTGAGCCCAATAATTAAGTGATTCAGTGTTATTATTGGCTTAATGCCGTCATGGTATTTCATTGGAAGGTATTAATCATAAAAAGGATAAAAGCTCCTGAAGGGAAAAAAAAAAATCTGTTGCCAGTATTGCCAATGTTACACAATCTCCATATGGTCCATGCTCTTACAAGTAAAATTGATCATGAAGTAAGAGCTGAATTTGGGAATATCTTTTATGTCATTTTTATGTTTACATGAATAATTCTCTGCTTTTTTTCCCCTTTAAATGCTTCAACTTTGATCTCTATGTAGGTACATTTATTCTCAAACGGGGAGTCCTCTTCATCTGCAGTCGCACCTCTTTACCACCAGGCCACGCCAGAGAGCTCACAGACCACCACAGAGGCCCCCTCTCTATCCAAAAAATCAAAAACTCCTCCTAAAGAGGACCCTCTGAACCTCCATAGTCACGCTGGCTTTGAAACTGACCCTAGTTCCCAGTCCCTGTCCTTCACCATAGAGACGCTTGATGAGTTTAAAATGGGGACATGGTGCTCTGGAGGGATCTTCAACCTGGAGGAAAGCCCCAGTGAGGAATCTGATGCCCTGAGGGACGCCTACAGGACTTTGGGGTTCGGAGAGAATCTTGAAGCACTTAGAGAACAACTTGATCGCCTGAAGGTGGCCCAGCAGCATTCACAGGAGCAGCTGGAGGTTATGACTCAAGAGAATTCCCGACTGAAATTGCAACTCTATAAAGATGGAGATCTACATGAAGCAAAAGAGTCCACAAAAGAAAAGGTACTTTATTGAATTTTTATACAAGTAAAATATGGACTCAAAAAGAAACTTCTCCTGTGAAACTTTCTCTTCTTCTCTCTCAGATGAATCAGCTGTTCATTGGTGACAGGGTTGAAAATGACACCATTCCTGTCCTTGCTCGAGATGACCTTCTCCAGGCCTTGAATCAGGAGAATCGAGCCTTAGGAGAACGCATCCAGGAGCTTTTGACTCACATCGAGCATAGAGAAGAGGAGTTCAAAAAGGAGGAATCACAGTTAAGGGACCTTATCTCCAAGCTAGAGGTGGACGGTGTCAGGCTGGAGCAGGAAAATCAGGAACAAGGGAGTTTGATTACAGAACTCACCAAGAAGACTGAGGATGATCTAAACACCATCATGGAGCTGCAGCAGAGGTTAGAGGAGAGTAAGCAGCATACAGAGGAATCTCAGGCTGATCAGGCTGTGTCTGGACCCCAACAGGAGCATGAAAATACAGCTGCAGTGTCAGGATGTGTTCAACTTCAAAATGTGGTTGAAAGTACGCTTAAAGGAGGAGAATCATATTTGATGTCTTGTCAACAACCAGATGATGTGACGACTACTTTAGTGCCTAAATCTCATCAACACAATCACTATGATCTGTTGCAGAACAGCCAACAAAACAGGTCAATTAAGAGCCTCAAAACAGAAAAAGAAGAATTACTTAGTGACATAAACTCTCTCAGAGAGCAACAGAAGGAAGTAGCTTTGTCAGTCAAAACACAGACAGAAGTCAAACAGCAGTTAACTCGGACAGTTTGGGGACTAAAAGAGGAGAAGGACTGCATCTCTAAATCTTTGACTGGTGTCAGACAAGAAAAGGAGCAGCTCACCAGAACTGTCTGCGGGCTGAGAGATGAGAGAGACCAGTTAAAAAGGTCCATGAGTGGTCTGAAAGAGGAGAAAGAGCAGCTAACAGAGCGTTTATCTGGTCTCAGAGCAGAAAAAGAGACTCTGACTGAATCTGTCTCCAGTGGAAAAGGAGAAAGAGATCAAATCTCGCTGTCACTACAAAGTCTACAGACAGAGAGGGAGCAGTTATATCAGACAGTGCTTGATTTAAGACAAGACAGAGATGTACTAACAGCTTCTAGTGAGTATCTAAAGGAGCAGAAAGAATGGGAACAATCATCTTACATTTTACAAGAAGACCAGGACAGGTTAAGAAAATCAATCAGCAGCTTAAAAGAAGAAAAAAAGTTAACTGAACAATCAGTCAGTCGTTTGAAGGAGGATGAAAAGCAGATGAACCTTTTAGTTCAGGGCCTGAGAGAGGAAAGAATTACCCTCCAAACAGAGAAGCAGCTTCTAAAGCATCCGGACAGTCCTGGTACAACACAGAGGCAGCACACTGAGACTCTTGGTTGGACAGCAGCTACACTAAGGTGCCAGACTGATGCCAACACAGAAAACCTTAAACAGGTACCAAGAGCTGTGTCACTGAAGCATTATTGTAAACTGTTGGTGTGTTTGGTGGAATTGAAATGTCTTGGAAGCATTGTGTAAAACTGCCTTGGATTTCTTTGTGCTTATGCAACAGGATGTCATTGGGAAACAGGAACAGAGTGATCTGATGCAGGAGATTGAAGCTTTGAGAGCAGAACTCAGGAAGTCAAGAGATGAAGTGGACAAGAGCAATGTAGATGTGAGTTAACTTTTCCTTTTAATCAATGTTTAATGAAAATGAAGATAAGCTTTAGGGAGACTTTTCTTTGTTTTATAGTTTTTTTTTTCCATTTCAGACTTTGTTTTTGTTTGTTGTTTGTTTCAGTCTTTGTAGACAGCAAACACCAAACAAGTCACATTTAGAAAGTTGGGCAGGTTACATAGAATAATTTCACACACTTCTTGTCTTGAGGTTTAAATTTGTGTCATGTTCAGGCCCGCAGGCTGCACAGTGAGCTGCATCAGTCAGAAAACAGGAGGGAGGAGGCAGAGACGAAGGCAGCCCAAGCAGCTGCAAAGCTGATGAGGGCGATGGATGCAGCCAATCAGGTGGAGGAAATCAGAGAGAAAAATAACAGCCTCACAACCCAGGTATTCAACAAGATAATCGAGACCAAAGTGCTATTTTACTCCAAAATCTTGTCTTCTCATTTTTCTGTTGGCTTATTTACTTCTTCTGTGGTTCAGAAAAACTCTGCATTCACACACTATACACAGAAAGTATAATAGTTAAAATATCTTCTGTTTATTTTGGTATTCCTCTTCGCTGTCACTCCTGCTGGGTTGTGTGCGAGTGATTTGTGTTCGACCTCATCATTGTTTGTGTGCGCTGCAGGTAAATGAGCTTCAGAGCAAACTGAGGGGCGTAATCAGGGAGAAGACTGATGCTCTGTCACTGAAGGCAGAAATAGAAGAGCAATATAACATCCTCATGGCTCAGCTCAAAGCGAAGGTAAGAATGACTGAATGTCTTCCTCATTGAACACATGGAGATAAGATAATGTTTAGTAAGAATGAAAACTGAATTAAAGACTTTGTGTTTGTGTCTGTGGGTTTCAAACCTTTCAGACTGTGGCTCTAGAAGAGCTAAACTTGGAGTACATCGCTCTAAAGCAAGTGCAGGACAGCAAAGATGATGTGGGCACCGTTCTTGTCACTCTCAGGACACGTTACAACAACATCAGATCAAAGGTGGGTAATCAGTCAGCTGTGATCATAAAAAAGAAGTTTTCTGTTTGTTTTAAGTTGATAAAATTGAATCTGAAACTTAGTGAGTAGTTTTTTGTTTGATTGTGTTTGCAGTATGATGACCTTCTAAGAAAGAGGAGCCAGCTGGATCTGGAAATAGCACCTCTAAAGGTGAGGAATGACTCTGTCTTCATCATTTTTATCAGAGTTGATCCAGAGATAGTACTTTAAGCTTGCTGTTGTCATGTGTCACTACAAGTTGAGTCTTACTGTCAGCTGTTTTGTCCACTAACAGGCCAAGCTGTCCTGCCTGGTGTTAAAATGTCAACAGAGAAACAGCTTGCTGGTTCAGATGATGAAGACCATGAGCAGACAAGGCCATGTGGACCCCACCCTCATTCAGCAGGTTGAGGAGGTTCTCAGCGACACTGTTATACAGGATTACTCTGCTGCCTTCACTCCAGGGTGCATGACAAATGAGTACAGCACAGGGTTTACACCAGAATTCATTTCAAATCTTCAAGACTGCGCCAGTGGATTCACGCCTGACCAGAGCTGCTTTCCTTTATCCCCACATATAAATCAGCAAAATGTGTTTACGCCTCAATCTGGGGGGATGTATGGAGGATTAAAAAGTTTTGAAAAATCTGCCAAATCCTCCAAAAATCCTCAAGACCTCCGAAGTCAAGTCTCATCTGCACCTACTGGAACACTGAAAAGAGACTGCAGCTCACCTGTGCAAGAGCACACCAGAGTCCCAGAGACATCCTCACCTGTTGTTCCAGCACTGAAAGTCAGCTTGGATACTGATACAGCTCAGGTAAGATGGTAAAAACAAAGTCACTTTATCTAATATTGCTGGCTTTAGGTTGTTTGATGTTATGTCTGTGTCTGTATGTAATTGTTTTATGTCTGTAACTTTGTAAATGTGCTGCTGACTATATTGGTCAGGACACTCTTGCAAATTAGATTTTTAACCTCAGTGAGGATTTTATGGTTAAATAAAGTTTCATTTTCATATATTCTGAGATTTTGTGAAATACCAACGCAAGAGCCTTTTATCTTGCATTTTTACTAGATAGTTACTTCCTACTATACTTTTTCATGAGAGATACTCTTTCAATAAGAAATAAAAACCCATTTTGCATTTGTATTTTTTCTGGAAATGGGTTTCAAAAACCTACTCAGAGAAGACACAGGTTCAGTAAGTATAAGGTCTGTCATAGATAACCACCCAGGTGATCATATGTACATTAAAATCAGTTTCTCTTAGATACGGGGGAACATTTAATGCTAAGGTCCACCCACACAGAATATACTACTTATCATGTTGGCTTTTTATGAATCATGTTAATGCTTTTTTTCTGCATGACTATAGTCTACCATGACTAGACTATTAAATAGGAGTTTCACCCTTTAACATCTTGATTGTTTTCTCCTAACAGGAAGGGATTGTAGGTGAATTACAATGTTGATATATTTGGCCCAGTATTATGCCACTACTTTTCTCATTCACAGCTCCCTCCATCCGCCGGTGGACTGGTCCTTGAAAACAGAGTGCCAGAGAAAGTAGGATATCATCAACTGGATATAAGAGGAAAGTCCCCTATAGACTCTGCTAGACTGCCTGGATCCTCACTGAGTCCTACTCCTCTTTCCTCCAGCACACGTGTCGGTGCAAGCAGGAGGCTGAGCAGTCCTGAAAAGATCCTTAACCTACATGAGCAGCTGCAGAAGACTCTGCAGAGCAGCTATCAGGTTCGCTTATACTCTTTGAACATTCGTACTTAAACATAAAGATGCTTACTCATAACAACGTAAATATTTGTCTAATTAATGCTCTTCTCTTGTTTTTAGACTTCAGTGCACAGAGGGAGAGGGCAGCAGCCCAGGAAATGTCTCTCATTTTCAGCTCCAGCTGCAGACCTGAACCCAGCCTCTCCGACTGTAAAACAGAGCCTTTGTTCCAATAAACCACAAAACAACTCCGTCCCAGTCACCTCCGCTTTGAGCCGAGCTAAGTCTGCTACAGCTGTGACCACCATACCTGTCGCCAAGACAACACTTTATGATGCTATCACCTCGAGATCTGCCAACGTGACATCTAGTCCCAACATTTTTACGAACCATCATTTTAAACCAGACATTTCTAAAAGTATAACACCCTCTTCAAGCCCTCATTTGGCTACCATGGAAGCTAATGAAGCCAAATCTTCTTCAAGAAGTTGGACTAACACAACAGAGTGTCCAAAACTGACAAAGAAAAATGCTGCCACTCCTGATGTATCTGATGCCAGACATGCAGCTTCTACTCCTTCAACTTCGAGGACCACTGGCTTTGACTGTAACATCTCAATCTGTTCTGACACAGATCCCAAAACCACTGCCTCAGACACAACTGCCCTTAGCTTATCAGCTGCCCAAGAGACCAATTATTTCAACACAGCCCCTAAAACTGATGGTGCTGTCCCTGCAAATGACAGGCCTGCTTTTACCGCCCCCTACACTCACCCTTCTCCTGAGAGATCCATCAAGTCTGCTGCTCTGGAAAAGACCAAGAAAGCCAGACCCAAACCAGGTAACACATGTACGCAATAATTAAGATTATTTACGCAAAGGCAAGAACAAAGCTGCTTTAATTCCTGGTGGAAGAGATTGTTGTTCTATGAAGCGTTTTAGTGCTTTTATTGATGTGACAATAAAACTCTATTTTCTGGAACTTTGTAGGAGCTCCTCACAGCTGTGGTGCACAATATTGCAGTTAATAATTGTACAAAATTACTTTTTGGCTATATGCAGCTGCAGTGTGATTATGTGTGGTCTCTTTCTAGTCAGTCCTCCTTTTCTGTCCCTTATGTGGTAAATAACGTTAGAAATTCAGACTCAAATCTTGGCAGCTTGTTGTTGCCCAAACTAGTGCACATGCAGCTTTATACACTGCAATAAACCATTAATTTCTTGAATTTGGTTACAAGAACTGTTTACAGCAAGCCCTCTAAACTGTAAAAAGGTACATTATGAAAGTGACCTGCTGTTAACTAGTAGGTTACTGGTATTTGATTTTTTGCTGCCTGTACTTCAATTTTCTTTGTCCTCTCACATCCAGAAGCTCCATCTGAGGTTCAATCTGTCGAGGTCATCAAAACAGTGGGCCAGAGCAGCCTCATGATTGGCTGGGAGAGGCCGACGCTTGATGAGCTGGGCTGCAGCAATGCCACATTTGTGTACGGGTATCGGGTAGGTGGACAAAACAGCAGCAGGCAGGCTGACACTTGTGCTTTTATGTTCAATATTTATGTGTCATGTATGAATTGTCTCTTGTTAGGTGTTTGTCGATGGAGACTTTCACAAATCTGTCATGAGCTCAGCGTGCACCAAGGTATCAGATTTCAGATGTGAATTAATCTGTCCTCTTCAAGCCATACTCTCATGACTTTTCACATATTACATTCATATTTTTTCGTTTTTCTTCAGTGTATTCTTGAAAATGTCAACCTGAGTCTTCCGGTCCACATCAGCGTCCAGACACTGGGCTCCAATGGTCTGACTTCAAACAGTGTCCACACCTTGTACAGGGCTTCAAATGGGACAGACCACCACAGTCCTAACTAGAGTAAAATGAATGGTGTCTAAGGTTAAACATGTAAGTGTATCTCTATTCGACAATTAGTCAGTGGTAACTGAATCGGATTCACAAGTGTGTAATGTTTTGTCGTTCTCTCTGTAGGAATATGACAACTTCTCAGTGAAAATGTACGAGGACTGAATGGTGAGTTGTGTCTAAGTGTCCATATTACTTTGAATTTATAAATGTTCACAAAATAGTTTTAAATGCCTCATCTGAATAAAACTAAATGTGATGACACTAATATTTTAAAACGTTTGTACCAACTCTTGTGTGATCTTTCCTTCTCTCCTGTGTGACCTGTATGTGTGCCTGCCCTCCAGTGCCAGCCATTAAAAGCTGCAGCCCTCTGAGGGACGTCCTAACCTCCACCTCAGCAGACAGCGAGGAGGACATTGTCATACTGCTGGGACTCCCTCAGGCTCAGGTCAAATAATCAGAGAAGCTCATCTCGCGTTGCAATTTTTAGCCTAGGAACCTAACAACCTTTGGCCACATAAACCTCACCACCGTTAACTGAAGATGTCAAACAAAACACCACTTTGACAATCTTACTCTGCATGCCAAAGCAGGTGAAGATTAACTTGATCGTTGTTGGAAGGATTTTCGGAGTCCTACCTTCGGGATACACTTTTTCATGGATGGGATGTTATGTTTACATGAGGAGATGTCAATCAAACAAATCTGGACAAACTGACAGAAGTGATTCTCCACCATAAAACTTTGCGAAGCCAAGATCAATCATGTTGTCAAACGCTGCCTGAGGCATCAACTTTTCATAACTTTTAATAACAACGCAGGACTGAGATCTTTGGAGGGGCATCTGCTGCACATTTTAACACTGTGTTTACTGAGAGGACATGTTTGTCCGGCTTCACTCGCCTCTCTGGACTCTGTGACACAAAAAGCTGACTGAAAAGACATTTACTGTATGAAAAGCCTTTTTTTTTTTTGTCAAAGCAACACGTTGTACGAGATGTCGACGCTTGTAACCAAGGTCATTATACTTGATTTTTACACATGAAGCCAAATATAAAAACAATATGATTCACCCCAAAGACTTACTCTGCATAAGACAACAGGATTACTTCACTCACAAGAACCAGGTGTTATTTAAGTTCTGCAATTTGCACATACTCATTAACAATATTTAAATAATCAAATTAAAAAAGAGATGATCACTGATATTTTTTGTAGAGATAACTATAAAAATATGTCAATTTACCACATTCTGTATATCTTTTTGTATGAGTGACACTTTGTTTTATAACCATGATAGATGTTATGCACGCTCAAATTTTTCCTGTTTGTTTTATACGATGTCAAACACACACATATGGAGTTTTTTGCTACTTAATGTATGTATGGGTGTGGAGTGATCATGGTGCAGCAGTATTTTTCTATCAGTGATTTGAGAAAATTGATATTCCATTGCTGTACAGGAAATAAATGTTTATATAATATAAAATGTAATACTCTGTTTTGCTGCATAAATCTAAAGAGATGCAAATTTGTGTTGATTTATGGGGAGAAAGAGAGGAAAGTTTTGTATGTGTTAATGTAACTGCAGCCGGTGACAAAGCCTCTTCCTTACATCGTTCTGTTTCTCAGGACTTTGTGGGATAAACAAGACAGTTAATGGCCAACACATTGATGTTGGTTAGTGAGCTGAAGGGCTGGTTAAAAGGGTATTATTCAGTCAGGTAGTTGTTTTTGTGGTCCTTTAAGAAGTTGATCCAGGTGATAGCTCTGTAAGGCCTCTTACCATGGTGGAATACCAGGTCTATACTTCTCATAAGGTGGCTTTAATATATGAACTGATGTGTCGAGAGCACCACCAGCACACCACACCAACAAACGTTCTGGATTGTGGAGGAGAGAACAGCCAGGAGCCTCAAGATAATAGCAGTGCTGCCCAAAAACAACATCCAGGTATGAACCTTCTTTGTTTTTGTTGCTAACAGTCAGGTCACAATATTAACATTTCAGGCACTTGCTATTTACCTTTGTTGTCTTTCAATATTACACAAGATCTTGAAACTAAGAAACTATGCTGGGCCTGTGTGTGAACAACATTAAACTGTCTCTGAAATACAGCAGGACAGAAAATATTTCCTGGATTTTACAACCTCGAAAGACAATAAAGGACTTTACACCAAAAATATTAATAAAACCATCCACTGGGATACAGCTTTATAGGCCTGTAGCTTTCATTCAAAGTGGGTCAAAGAAAATATTAGTCATGACAGGCTCCAACAGCTCAAAGAAACCCCATTCAGAGGAGGGTCTGTGTAGTCTGAGAAAATGGTCTTGTCCTTTAAAGGTCAGGAGAACTCCATCCTTCGTAGAGCATACATCAGAGCCTGGAAACCTGAACGCACAGCCTCTGTTTGGAAGTAATAGCCCCAAACAAACAAAGGACAGGATAGCATGTGTCACATCATACAGGACAGAAGCAAAAACAATAAAAAAAAAAAATGTTTTCCCTAATTTACATCCATCAGGCCGGGGATGGTGAACGCTTCAGGATGAGCCTGTCTGCACTCACCTCCAATCAAACACCTAAAACCAAAGCAAGGATGGATTTTTTGTGATTTTGAGAACACTTTGAATGTTGGGCTTTCACTTCTATGTGTCCACTTCAAATCAATCAAACCTTTAGTCAGAGCTTTGTGACCTGGCTACAATAAAACAAAGTTATAACCAGGTGCAAGACCTGAACCGAGGTCACTAGAATTGGGTTACTGTGTTGCACCAGTGAAAGTTTCTCAAAACTCTCCCAAATATGCTAGGTAAAACAAACTAACAAACAAAAATACAGTTCTAAAGTGCAGAAAGTTGGTTTAAGTCAGTCCCAAGGTGAAAAATAATACTAAACCTAAATATGAGTAAAAAAACAAACTTTTTAATCAGAAAAAAAAAAACAAATTTATGACGAAATTGGTGCAAACAGACGTTCTCACGTGATCAAGCCTAACGTAAAGTTTGTTTACGTGAACCTCGGAAATCGAATGTCCGGTTTTGCCGCACATCCAGACAAGAAATGGCGAAGGGAGTATTCAATACATTCAACTGTAAGTGGACCACCTGTATAAATGTTGGAGAAAGATTAAACAAAACTCCCACGACAGCACCCGAGGCTGCGCTTAGGTGTGGAAAGAGAATGGGGGGGTAGTTTTTAGCCGGGTTCATCTGGAGACAAACGAAGGAAATGAAAGTATTGTCATATGTCCTGAGAGAGATAACTGAGGGTAAATAATATTATCACTTTGCTCTGCAGAACTAACTTAATCCATTATGGCTGTCATGAAATATCAAAATATGCCATAAAACTCAACGGAAGAAAAAGTTTGGCACGTTGGCGTCGTTCTCTCTCTCTCTATTTAGGGGAGAGTGGGGTAAGTTGAGCCGTTTTTCATATTTGGGATCACTACATCAAGGTAATCATAGTTTTGTCTCTAACTAGTGAATCTGCATATATTTCAAGATGTTGTGAATCCCTGCAAACCAACAGAATGAGTTTAAGAAGCCATTTTAACATGAGAATGTCTTTAAGTGATTCAGAACATTCACAGCTGTATTTTTGAAAAGAACAAGTAACACATTTCAACAATCTGAACTGAAACTCTGACCCTCTCATCAGACTAATTTCCTTTCTCAGTTGAGCCAATGGATCAACTTACCCCTGAACTACTATGATGACTTTATTAGTCCTCTAAACTAAAATGGTGGACTTCTATGCTAGGTTTTTGACCTCATGTTGTAGCTCATAGATACCACAATTGATGTATAAAACTAATTTAAAATGATGTTTTTTGGTCTGAACACAATTCTAATAAAATTTATGACAGACTCAATTCACTCTCAAGAATGAAAAATGTTTTTTTTGGAAATAAATGTCTAACCCCTTCACCCATGTGCTTCTAACTTTCAGACTTCATGAATTGATGCCCGTCTCCTAAATATTTGGTCACATGATCCATTTCTTTTACCATTTCCAAGCAACAAGGGGGGTGGCTCAACTTACCCCACTCTCCCCTATATATCATGCAACAGGTACAGTAGATGCGCTTTAGTGTGTGTGTGTCTTCAGTAACCACACTTGACAGCTGCTTTCACAATAGATTTATCGGAATAGATAATGCTGAAAGGCTCAAGTAATCTTGAGCATCTTAATGTCTGCTTTCCCATTCAATACAAACCAGGCACAACACCAAAACCTGATGTAAAGGAAGAAGAGGAAGGCGCATCAGCGGGTTTTTCTTTTTTTAAGGAGCTTTATAATCACCTGCAGCACTCAGCAGCTCTGGGAACTCTCTGAGGGCGTCAGTCCTCATGCTCAGCAGAAAGAGGCGAACCAGCTGTGGGGGAAGAGGCTACTTTTCTGAGGAGAGGTATCTTTCAGGAGGACTCGACTGTGAGCAGAAAAAACTTAACTTATTTTCTTATTTTCAGCTCAACTTTTCTACAACATAGAGGTTCTAACTTAGACAGTTGGTGATAGGCCTGTCTAAGCAGATTTGGGAGATACAAAGTGTTTAAAACCATGATGCTACTTTTCATAAACAGAGGCTTAAGTGGTTATAATGAGGTGCACCTCATCCAGTTACAAGAACTGCAACATTGAGCTTAATTTGCCCAAGATGTAAACTCTTATGACTCAAATTTGATATTGCTCCTTCATGTTTCCTTTCTGCAATACAAGAGGTAGGAGCTACCTCGGATACAATTATTTGTGCCTTGAAAATGCATTATACACCACCAGGGATATCAAATCTTTGCAGGAGAAGCTTAGAATTAAAGAGCTTGCACCGGATCACTCTGATGGAAAATGAAAGTTCAATAATATTCCAATGACAATGGAAGAAATTACACTTAGCTGTTTAAAAAGCAAATGCGAAGAAATGTTTTGAATTTTATCTGCACTACAATAATCCCAAACAAGCATCAGTGATTATTGCAGTGAGCGGAGTTTGGAAGATTTGAA